GGGGGGAACGACATGTTCCCCGACTAGACGGGGGCAGACAGAAATAATCTCTCACAGCGCGGCACAGTGGTCGCCCCTGGCACAGTTGTCGTCCGTCCTGTCCTCCTGACCCGCCCGAGGGGGAAGGGGAAATGTCTCATCAGCTGCTGGCTGTAGGTCCACAGAATTCCTTGTTTCTCCCTCCTCAACTCTCCTCCTCCTCTTTTTCCCTCCTCAACCCTCCTCCTCCTTCTTTCTCCCTCCTCAAACATCCTCCTCTTTCTCCCACCTCAACCCTCCTCCGCTTTCTCCCTCTCCTTCCCCATCGCATACGTATCATTATAGTGTCAAATACCCCCCCCCCCCAATCCTCTCCCCCCAACCAAAGTACCCTCCTTGAGTCAAATACCGTCTCCCACTCTCTCCACCAAACAAAAAACAAAATAAGAAGGAAAAAAAAGAAGAAAACAAAAAACCCCTCACCCCTCAGGTTATTACTTTAAAAAACAGTCCTGTCAGACTCAATACCTCAAATGAAACAAGGCATATATTCGACTATTTTTGAATACTTTGCATTACATAATATCGTATTCTGGTATAACAACACTTGTTTACAACGTAAGGACACTCAAAAAGCCAGAACTTCCTGGTCGGGATTCGAACTAAGACGCCAGTATTGAGAAATATTATCTACAAGGAAGAGACGCATAATAATTTATATTATGTGGTGCCGAGCCAAGTAGAGTCGAGTCGATGCTACACGTGAGACGAAGGAGATAATGGTGTTGGCATTTTGCTCACTCCACTAGGAAATACCCAACCGTCGCGCAGCCAATGTTGAAATAGTAGCACGAAGTGGAACAGGATGTACCATAATAAGCTGAACCAAAATATGACGCTCTACAAATTTACAGTTATTTCAGGTCATTCAATAATGGCATGACTCTATAATATTATTATTATAGCCTACAACCAGACACCTGCACGAGCGCGTGGTGATAGCACCAAGACAGACTCAGCACATGGTAGTCTGCGTGGGCTTTGATGAAGTCACCCAAAGTGAAAACAAAAACAAAAAGCAAACAACCTCCCCCCCCCCGAAAAAGCAACAACAAAAACAAAACAAA